AAATTTGTGCTGTGCCTTCTAAAGGCATTGAAGATGAAAAGTTGTGCTATTTGCGAGTTTTCGTCAATGGGTGTGTCCGTGGCGTGGCGTCAAGATCAAGTCTTCGCCATGACACAGGAAGTTGTTGTAACTTCAGTGTACATGCTAACATCTGAACCAAACTTTACGTGCTTGATAACTCTCCCACCCCGCTATGGAGGACCGATCCTGACACAGTCAGAAATAAATACAGAAATAAATAAATGCTCAATAAATAATAAGCTCCAATTAAATACACAAAAAATAAAGTAAATAAATAAATGTGGTATTAATTAAATTATACAAGGAGACATAAATGTATATTTTAATTAGTGCCTTTACTTATTCACCTTTGTTATAATTACCTTATTTTTATTCTCCCTTATATCTCAACTTTATTATTACTAATTTTTTTAATATATTTATTTATGTGTGTGTTTTAATATTTTTCTGTTTTATTCTTCCTTTGTATTTTTCTACCTTATTTATTTTCACCCATGGTATTATTTCTGCCTGTCCTTTTTAAATTCTGTATGCATTTCTGATCATTATGCAAATGAGGGGGGCTGTGTCTCAAGGGGTCATCTCTCTGCTGCTATGGTGGACCAGTCAGACAGGAGAGCTCTAGCTACTCTGCCTGCAGACATCAACGATCTTGCCCCTCACACAGTCAGATGGCTTCCTTCAGTGCGCTGAGGTGTTTAACAACTCTGAAGACACTACCAGCCATGTCTTCCTTCTCTTTTCACGTAGACGCTCCGACAGACAGTGCTTTCAGTTTGCTGCATGCATGGACACAGAACTGCGGTACAGCACACAGTAACGATGAAATGTGTGCTGTTATCACATTCTTCCTCTGTATGTACACATAAACAACAAGGCAGGGAAATATAAAAGGAATTTTTTTAGTGTTTGGGTACATTATTGTTCAGTGTACATGCTCACATCTGAACCAAACTTTGCGTGCTTGATAACTCTCTGACCCCCAGACATCTACACGTCAATACCGATTTATATTCATAGCGGCAAGTGCTATGTAGCTCCACATAGGGGACACAGGAAGTGACATATAGCACCTTCATGCGGCGACATAACCGCGTAGGAAATTCACAGCCGCACCGGCAGAGCTCCAGAATATGCACTCGGCCGGCTCACACGCCGGACGCGCTTACAAGTGCGAGGGCCCGCCCAACGCTGCTTGCAGCTTTAATTTTGGTTATTACCGCTTTGAGTTTGAGTGTTTAATATACGTCCCATTTGACGTCCATTTGTAGTCTGTACTTCTTGATATGGAGCTTCTGGCACAATCGGCCTTCCATACATTTGGTCAGCAAATCCTTGTCTTGGCCTAACAACTGTGGTAGGATCAGGTACAGCAGGAAAATCATTTTCATGTGGGACAAAAGCTTTGACAAGAGGATCTAAACCAATGGACCTTTGAGCTTTGCTCCTCTCCAAATAAGAGTTCATTCCATCAGATCGTCTTGAACCGCACTGTGATGAGTTCATTTCTAAAACCTGAAGCCTGCAGTTGTAGCTGCCAAATCCATTTCAAGCGCCATGCTCCTTTTCTCTACGAAGCCTTTCTTCCTGCGCTTCTATATGATGTTTCCTTTTAAAGCTTCAGAGCGTTAAGAAGAGCTGCTCTCTCGGCCTCCGCATTAATGCGCGCTGCAGATGTTGCAGAAGTCTTTGATATGCCAGTGGTACGTGATTTTACAGAACTTGCTTTTACACTTGTGACATTAGAAATACTGTCTTCAGGTTGTATTCCATCATCACACATCCTGCGTCGATAAGTTCTTTTGGCTGGTATGGACAACCAGCTTTAGAAAGCCACTCCTTCACATCTTCAATAAATGCATGACATGATTTCATCTTCTCCTCAAAGGTTTTGGTTTTAGTGGTGATATTCATCTTCTGGTAGAGGCAATTCCATGAATGTTTCATGTATATCGAGTGCTTCTTCATAACACTTAATGAACAAAGCGAGCTGAGTGTTCACCACGTCTGCATTTTCATTTAATTCCATTAGGGCACGGATTTTTATCCATAAGCTTTTTAGCCTGGTTGATTTTTGCAGTACGTTTTTCTTGACAAGTTTTTATGTAAAAGCATTCCTTTAAAAGTCAATTGATTGACCGCTTGATTCCGGCCTCTCCACATCAGTCATTTTGTTGCAAACTTGTAGCTTAATGTTGATAATGTCCGTGAAGGTTCACAATTGGGCAACAAGGTTAGCAAGGATAGCGATCTTATCGTAACAAACTTTGTTTTATAGAACCATCCTCTTCATCCACACAAGTGCACACAGCACTGGCTTACACTTAATGTATAGGCCACCCGCAGGGTTGATGATTCACAAACAAGATCACGTACCTCTTCATAAACGTTTTCCTATACAGCATTTTTTGAAGTACATACCAACTGGAGATTTTTTTAGCTCGGGCAAGGCTCTGTCTCATGCCAGCAGATAATCCACAAATGTAAATAAAACAATCCCTTCTGATTTTCCATCGGGTATCCCAATAATATCCGAAGCGAATTCCAAGGAAAGTTCTTCTTTCTTTAATCCATGAGCGGTTTTTTACTTGATGTAGTGGCCGTTTGTCAACAAACAAAATAAAGTTAAACTTAAATCAAACCTTCAAACGACAACTTCTAGCACCCTGGGCAGGTAATGTACGCAGGCAAGAAATAAATCAATTTCAAACTGGATTCAGGGTTGTGGCTGGTTTATTTGTTCCAACTGAGCAAGCAATACAGCATCTCTCACGCTGGTAAAAAACCATGTGCCCATCACCAGGTGCTGCCGCTCACTTCCTACTTCCTACCTATATTTACCCTCACCTGTGCCCACTACTGCCCTCAGGTGTCTAAATCAACATTGCAATTATTAAACTAACCAAAAATAAAGACTAAACATATATAAAACAATTAACTAAACAAACAAACAAAACAAAACATTATCAAATATGTATACATATATACGTATTTCTAATATAACAAAATCATAATAATAATCAATTTAATTAACAAATACCACTACTGAAAGCAAACTAATGTAGCTTCAACACATAGCAAGACCTCTAACCCATATTTGCAATCAGTCCCTACAAACTGGTGTCTTTCTAGATAAAATTAAATAGCTAAAGTAATACCAATATATAAAACTGGAGACAAACTTATACTACACAACTACAGACCCATCTCATTGCTTCCACAGTTTCTCAAAATATTGGAAAAAATGTTCTTTATAAGGCTGGGTGATTTCACCGCCAAACATAATATTCTGTGTGAACAATATGGTTTCAGAGCTGACAGATCAGCTTCTTTGCAATGATAGAATTTATAGAAAAAGTTACAAACGCAGGAAACAAAATGCAGTAGAATATTTCTAGATCTCAAAAAGCTATTGACACAAAGATCACAAATTATGATTAAAAAAACAAAGATATGGTATTAGAGGAATTGCACCGACATGGTTATCCAGTTACCTTGGAGAAGCTACTGGATACCATAGAAAAGGAAGTGGGGAAGATGAAGATTTGGTTTGATGAAAATAAACTAACACTGAATTTGAGTAAAACAAGATTTATAATATTTGGAAACCGATTAACCGACACAGAATATCAAAACATCATCATACGCTTACATGTAAACTTCTTTTTCTGTAGTTGCTCCTTCCATGTTTGTTTATCTTTCTTTTTAATGCTTCCGCTGGTAACCCTGTGTTTAACATGACTCTATGAACTGTGGGTAATTTCTTCAGGCAAAGTTTGCAGAGATGCAGAATTAAAGAAAGAGTGCATAAAGTGCACAAAAAGTCTTCGAGAGAGCCCTCATGCACTTGACAATTTTACACTGGGACAGCCTTAAGTCCTCACGGATTTACCGGGAGTGTGCCTCAAAGTCCGTGAGTGTAGAGACTGGGATTCAGCCAATGACTGAGTGATGAATCCAAATGTGCAGACAAGCAAGTCACGCTGTCTGTGTATCAAACGCACACTTCTATAACTGTTGAACTATGAGGCCAACATTGCTCAGTTTATATTTTTGTTAAGGAGAGTCAGCCCATACCAACTACCTGAGCTCCGAGATTCCTCAGGAGGTGAAGCAGAGGATAGCCAGGATGGGAGTGGACACGATGCTGAAGATGGTGAGATACATCCCCTGCTGGATGATCAGTTGCATCTGATTTAATGATTCCATTAATATTACTTCATAACGTGTGTGAATCTTCTTGTCTGTTATACATTTGTTCATGTTGGTTCTGTGTGATGAGAGAAATTGTGATTATGTTTATATGTTGATTATATTTGTCTGGTACATTGTCTCCATCTATATGTCTGCGTTCCAGGTTTTTGTGGACAACTTTGTCCACGGGATCTCCATCCCGGAAACATTCTGGTCCAGTGTTGGGAGCCGTTCCTGGTTCCAGGGACAGTGCTGCAGGTATCTCAGGGGAGGCCTATGGTAAGACCACACTCACCGACTTGTGGGACACAGTGGTGGTCAGCGTCAGGCCGGTCCCGTGTCCTCTTCAGCTGGTGCTGCTGACGCCGGCATCGTAGCCCAGCTAATGATCGTGATCTTGCCAACTTCAAGGCCGTCTTCACGCTGTGGTCCTGTGTCAGGTAACGACGGGAAGGGTACATAGATGAGACTTCCAGTACTAGTTTCACTGAAATTGTACATAGGAGTTTCACACGAAATGTAATTTTTTTAAAATTCTCATATCAATAGTATTTTATTTTTTTTTTATTTATTTATTTTTTTACAGTAAATGGTTGGGATGCTTCAACAATGAACAAAAAAATTGTTTTGGACTAACTGTCACTGTGGTTTGATTTCCTTTCTTCAGGGTGAGCGAGTGGCAGAGTTGATCCTGAATCACGCTCGGGCCAATGAGTGCCAAGACGTGCCGCAGTTTAAGAAGGAAATGGCCCAGCTGGTGGACCATGCCCCACCAACACCCTCTCCTTTGGGAAAGGTACAACCAGATATGTGTTTTTTCTTATTGTGTATGATTTGGTTTCTGATGCAGGGCTGCGTGATGATGTGTAATAAATTGAATTTGCATCATTCTGTGATTGTTATGTGATACTCACCATGGTCTGATATCCTTTCCTTCTGTTTGTATTGTGTGCTCTATTTGTTTAATAACATTTGATTTATATTTTGTCTTAGCTTTCATGTTCTCATTGTGTATATGTAACTCAGCAGGAGGTTTTTGACTATTCACAATGACTTCTGGCTGGTGAAAGTGACAGTGAAGAGTCACAGAGTATTATTGGTGTGTTTTGTTGATAGTTTTTTGTTGATTTTACAGATCCAAGTTGGTGAATTGCTGTCCAAAGTCTTTGGTTTACTCATCAAACACAAGGTAGAATATCAGGTGGTTACATTCATGATGGTGAACAAACATGCATCTGGTTCAGAACCCACACTTAATCTTTAAGTGGTATTAAGACAGGTGACAACTCTGAATCACTGCTGTTGCTGTGGTCCCAATAGGTTTTCTCAAGTATATAGCAGCACTTTTAAGTTTTAGTTTGAGGCAATTTAAGATTAATCACTGCGCTCTTCTTTGCTCCATGTTGCTCCTAGGGAGGTCTAGCTTGCGAGGCTGCTGCTTTGTGGAGGCCTGGTTAATGCTTTTTCAAAATGACAAAAACAGGAATAATTCAAGGTGAATCACAAGAAAACAAAAACTACAGGTGACCTAAACATATTTGAATCTTTTGTATATAGGACACAGTGTACTTGTAAGTAATGTAATGATAAACCGATTATACTGAACAGTCATTGTAATGGACCAAATAATGTTTTTTGCATCGAGTTCCCCTCACTGATCCTGGTCAGCTCTGTGTGATATAACAATATTTCACTTCCTTTTAAAAGGATAAAGCTTATTAAAATCCAGCAAAATCCACAGAAACAATCATGACGTGATAACTCTGTTGCAGAAAGGTGGTTGCTGAGCTATTAGTCTCATAAAAAGTGCTTGTTTACGCCTAGTTTTGTATTAAACTTTGAAGGTTTGACGACCAACAGTATGATCTTAAATGGTGCCATGATGTGATTGCTTGCTGATGTTGATGTCACTGATTGTTGTTGAAGGTGAAGCTGGAAAGTAATTTCGCCTCCATCGTGTTTGCCATCATGGTGCTAGAGGGTCTGGGCAGGTCCTCGATCCGAACTTGGACATCCTGGAATTGGCCAAACCCTGCTGCTAAGAACTGTTCCTCACTGCTCTGACCACACATACATAAACACAAGCCAGTGGGTCACACACAGAAAGGCACCTGTAATACACACACACACACACACTACTAATCCTAATACTGTATACATCTATAGATTCGGTAGGCGTGTGTGTATACATTATGGTTGTCTTCAAAGCTTATGCAAGATTCCACTGTGGATAAGGAGATCACTCATCACTACATTTACATTTTAGCAGTGCTGATTTAATAAATACCTCCATGAGTTTTACATTGGTTGAGTTACTGTTACTCTTAAATTGTATCATTTACTGTCTGTAGTACAAACATTTCGCCCACCAAAATCTACTTTTGTGCTAGTTGTGCTTTACATGAGGCAACACTGGTTTTATGAGTGCCAATGGGGTCAGACACATTGGCATCACAGACCATTTGTAGTGATTTAAGATCTAAAAGAAAATACTGTGAACATCCCTAGTTGATACTCAAAGCATATTGTTTACTTTTAAATGACCAATATGAGCTCAGAATGTATTTATCAGTCCATATTTTTAGTGCAGCTTAGATAATGTTGTCTAATGGACCATGTTTGCTTTAGCGTGAATCATAACGTACTGTAACATTTGTTCTTAGACATACATTGACGATGTGAAACTTTGGCAATTTGTACTCACAACTGAGCCTCCATGTCTTTAACTTCTGTACAATGGTGGGAACACTGTATGAATTATCAATTCAATAAAAAGAGGAATCTATACTAGAGATCTATTGTTGTTCTTTTTCTTTTCTTTGTTGCCTCTAGTGACCAGTTGAAAGTTTTCTGACCCTTTTAGTGAGGCTGCTGATACAGCTTCGAAGCAGACAATTCACTACATCAGGGCACGGGATCCATTAATTTACAATTTTATTAAATCTGTCAATGAAAAACACAGACAAGAGACTGTTCTGTCAATGTCATCAGGAAGAACAGTCAGCATGGCTGAAAGAGTGAGATCAGGAGGTTTTGGTGCAAAAAACTCATCACATACCCTTTATTGCAAAACTGTTGATTTTTTTTCATCACCATCAAGAGCCCAGAAAGAGCAGCTGTTCAAGTAAGGAGGGAGGGGGGAGGTGACAACTGTGTAAAAAAATCTTTCAATAATAATTAATAATAATGACAAAAGAAATAAAAACATCTCTAATAGACAAACACAATCACCTCAGTATAAGACGAGATTCTGTCACAGTCACAACAACCAGAGAAAAGTTGTTTCTTTTTTCCTCTTTTTAATGAATTAAATAGTTTTTAAAATATTTTCCATTACTATACTCATCTTTTTTCATTTTTGCGAAAAATAGGCAACTGGACTAATTGTGTGATGCAAGGTACTGTGTGTGTCTGCGTGTGTGTGTGTGTGTGTGTGTGTGTGTTGTGTGTGGACAGAGAAATAGAGATTAAGTGGAGAGATAAAGTGGAACGTCTTGGAGCATTGGGCACTGAGAGCAGCAGCAATGTGTGGCAATGCAGTACTCTCATTCAGCCACCAGGTGGCACAGTTCAGTCTGAACATTCCTCCAGGCAGAGCTATGGCGGCCCTCCCTCCCTCCCCACCCACCAACCACCACTGTATCAGAGGAGTCAGGTTTTGCCAACAGCCTCTGATTTTTGGA